TAGAGGGATATCCCCAACCACCAACTTACAATCCTGAGACAAGGCCGAGTATAGCCCACAGAGGTCTCCACCACAGCACAAACCAAGAGGGGGGCGCCAACCCAGACAGGAAGATCACGTCAGTAACTCAACCCACTCAAGTGACGCACCCCTCCCAGGGACGGCATGAAAGAGCACCAGCAAGCCAGTGACTCAGCCCCTGCAACAGGGTTAGAGGCAGAGAACCCCAGTGGAGAGGGGAACCGGCCTGGCAGAGACAGCAAGGGCTGTTCGTTGCTCCAGCCTTTCCGTTCACCTTCACACTCCTGGGCCAGACTACACTCAATCATATGACCTACTGAAGAGATAAGTCTTCAGTAAAGACTTAAAGGTTGAGACCGAGTCTGCGTCTCTCACATGGGTAGGCAGACTGTTCCATAAAAATGGAGATCTATAGGAGAAAGCCCTGCCTCCCGCTGTTTGCTTAGAAATTCTAGGGACAATTAGGAGGCCTGCGTCTTGTGACCGTAGCGTACGTATTGGTATGTACGGCAGGACCAACTCGGAAAGATAGGTAGGAGCAAGCCCATGTAACGCTTTATAGGTTAACAGTAAAACCTTGAAATCAGCCCTTGCCTTAACAGGAAGCCAGTGTAGGGAAGCTAGCACTGGAGTAATATGATCAAATTTCTTGGTTCTAGTCAGGATTCTAGCAGCCGTATTTAGCACTAACTGAAGTTTATTTAGTGCTTTATCCGGGTAGCCGGAAAATAGAGCATTGCAGTAGTCTAACCTAGAAGTAACAAATGCATGGATTAATTTTTCTGCATCATTTTTGGACAGAAAATTTCTGATTTTTGCAATGTTACGTAGATGGAAAAAAGCTGTCCTTGAAACAGTCTTGATATGTTCGTCAAAAGAGAGATCAGGGTCAAGAGTAACGCCTAGGTCCTTCACAGTTTTATTTGAGACGACTTTACAACCATCAAGATGAATTGTCAGATTTAACAGAAGATCTCTTTGTTTCTTGGGACCTAGAACAAGCATCTCTGTTTTGTCCGAGTTTAAAAGTAAAAAGTTTTCAGCCATCCACTTCCTTATGTCTGAAACACAGGCTTCTAGCGAGGGCAATTTTGGGGCTTCACCATGCTTCATTGAAATGTACAGCTGTGTGTCATCCGCATAGCAGTGAAAGTTAACATTATGTTTTCGAATAACATCCCCAAGAGGTAAAATATATAGTGAAAACAATAGTGGTCCTAAAACGGAACCTTGAGGAACACCGAAATGTACAGTTGATTTGTCGGAGGACAGACCATTCACAGAGACAAACTGATAACTTTCCGACAGGTAGGATCTAAACCAGGCCAGAACTTGTCCGTGTAGACCAATTTGGGTTTCCAGTCTCTCCAAAAGAATGTGGTGATCGATGGTGTCAAAGGCAGCACTAAGGTCTAGTAGCACGAGGACAGATGCAGAGCCTCGGTCTGACGCCATTAAAAGGTCATTTACCACCTTCACAAGTGCAGTCTAAGTGCTATGATGGGGTCTAAAACCAGACTGAAGCATTTCGTATACATTGTTTGTCTTCAGAAAGGCAGTGAGTTGCTGCGCAACAGCTTTTTCTACAATTTTTGAGAGGAATGGAAGATTCGATATAGGCCGATAGTTTTTTATATTTTCCGGGTCAAGGTTTGGCTTTTTCAAAAGAGGCTTTATCACTGCCACTTTTAGTGAGTTTGGTACACATCCGGTGGATAGAGAGCTGTTTATTATGTTCAACATAGGAGGGCCAAGCACAGGAAGCAGCTCCTTCAGCAGTTTAGTAGGAATAGGATCCAGTATGCAGCTTGAAGGTTTAGAGGCCATGATTATTTTCATCATTGTGTCAAGAGATATAGTACTAAAACACTTAAGTGTCTCTCCCGATCCCAGGCCCTCGCAGAGCTGTGCAGATCCAGGACAGCTAAGCCCTGGAGGAATACGCAGATTCAAAGAGGAGTCCGTAATTTGCTTTCTAATGGTCATGATCTTTTCCTCAAAGAAGTTCATGAATTTATCACTGCTGAAGTGAAAGCCATCCTCTCTTGGGGAATGCTGCTTTTTAGTTAGCTTTGCAACAGTATCAAAAAGAAATTTTGGATTGTTCTTATTTTCCTCGATTAAGTTGGAAAAGTAGGATGATCGAGCAGCAGTGAGGGCTCTTCGGTACTGCACGGTACTGTCTTTCCAAGCTAGTCGGAAGACTTCCAGTTTGGTGTGGCGCCATTTCCGTTCCAATTTCCTGGAAGCTTGCTTCAAAGCTCGGGTATTTTCTGTATACCAGGGAGCTAGTTTCTTATGACAAATGTTTTTCGTTTTTAGGGGTGCAACTGCATCTAGGGTATTGCGCAAGGTTAAATTGAGTTCCTCAGTTAAGTGGTTAACTGATTTTTGTCCTCTGACGTCCTTGGGTAGGCAGAAGGAGTCTGGAAGGGCATCAATGAATTTTTGTGTTGTCTGAGAATTTATAGCACGACTTTTGATGCTCCTTGGTTGGGGTCTGAGCAGATTATTTGTTGCGATTGCAAACGTAATAAAATGGTGGTCCGATAGTCCAGGATTTTGTGGAAAAACATTAAGATCTACAACATTTATTCCATGGGACAAAACTAGGTCCAGAGTATGACTGTGGCAGTGAGTAGGTCCAGAGACATGTTGGACAAAACCCACTGAGTCGATAATGGCTCCGAAAGACTTTTGGAGTGGGTCTGTGGACTTCTCCATGTGAATATTAAAATCACCAAAAATTAGAATATGATCTGCTATGACTACAAGGTCTGATAGGAATTCAGGAAACTCAGAGAGGAACGCTGTATATGGCCCAGGAGGCCTGTAAACAGTAGCTATAAAAAGTGATTGAGTAGGCTGCATAGATTTCATGACTAGAAGCTCAAAAGATGAAAACGCCATTTTTTTTTTTGTAAATTGAAATTTGCTATCGTAAATGTTAGCAACACCTCCGCCTTTGCGGGATGCACGGGGAATATGGTCACTAGTGTAACCAGGAGGTGAGGCCTCATTTAACACAGCAAATTCATCAGGCTTAAGCCATGTTTCAGTCAGGCCAATCACATCAAGATTATGATCAGTGATTAGTTCATTGACTATGACTGCCTTTGAAGTGAGGGATCTAACATTAAGTAACCCTATTTTGAGATGTGAGGTATCACGATCTCTTTCAATAATGGCAGGAATGGAGGAGGTCTTTATCCTAATAAGATTGCTAGGGTGAACACCGCCATGTTTAGTTTTGCCCAACCTAGGTCGAGGCACAGACACAGTCTCAATGGGTATGGCTGAGCTGACTACACTGACTGTGCTATTGGCAGACTCCACTAAGCTGGCAGGTTGGCTAACAGCCTGCTGCCTGGCCTGCACCCTATTTCACTGTGGGGCTAGAGGAGTTAGAGCCCTATCTATGTTGGTAGATAAGAGGAGAGCACCCCTCCAGCTAGGATGGAGTCCGTCACTCCTCAGCAGGTCAGGCTTGGTCCTGTTTGTGGGTGAGTCCCAGAAAGAGGGCCAATTATCCACAAATGTTATCTTTTGGGAGGGGCAGAAAACAGTTTTCAACCAGCGATTAAGTGCTGAGACTCTGCTGTAGAGCTCGTCACTTCCCCTAACTGGGAGGGGGCCAGAGACAATTACTCGATGCCGACACATCTTTCTAGCTGATTTACACGCTGAAGCTATGTTGCACTTGGTGACCTCTGACTGTTTCATCCTAACATCGTTGGTGCCGACGTGGATAACAATATCTCTATACTCTCTACACTCGCCAGTTTTAGCTTTAGCCAGCACCATCTTTAGATTAGCCTTAACGTCGGTAGCCCTGCCCCCTGGTAAACAGTGTATGATCGCTGGGTGATTCGTTTTAAGTCTAATACTGCGGGTAATGGAGTCGCCAATGACTAGGGTTTTCAATTTGTCAGAGCTAATGGTGGGAGCCTTCGGAGTCTCAGACCCCGTAACGGGAGGAGTAGAGACTAGAGAAGACTCAGACTCAGACTCCGACTCGCTACATAATGGGGGAAAACCGGTTGAAGGTTTCTGTCGGCTGAATGAGCGACACCGGTTGAGCATTCCAACAGTATTTCCCTCCAGAAGCCATGAGAAAGTTGTCCGGCTGCGGGGACTGTGCGGGGGGATTTATACTAACGTTACTGTCTGTACTTACTGGTGGCACAGACGCTGTTTCTTCCTTTCCTACACTGATATTACCCTTGCCTAACGATTGCGTCTGAAGCTGGGCTTGTAGCACAGCTATTCTCGCCGTAAGGCGAGAATTCTCCTGTATATTATGAGTACAGCGACTGCAATTAGAAGACATCATGTTAATGTTACTACTTAGCTTCGGCTGTTGAAGATGTTGATGAACCATGTCCAGATAAAGCGTCCGGAGTGAAAAAGTTGAATAAGGGAAAAAAGTTGCGATGGAAAAAAGGAAAATAACGTAAAGTTGGCAGCTAAAACGCACAGGAAAATGACTCTTCTGTCTCGGGATAAACGTCCGGGGTGAAAAAGTTTAACGAAAAAAGATGAGTGAGGACAAAACTAAAAAGTTGGTAAATTTGTTGAACACAGAGATTGATTAAACGTTTATTAAAAGTAAAACGTGAATAGTTTGGCAGGTAGCCAAGTAGCAACAAACAGCAGAGCAGCACGGAGACAATGCGGAAGCGAGACGGAAGTCACGTGACTGTCAAAGGGTTTGAGTGACAGAGGTGTAACACGTTACCCTACTCCACAATGCATGCGACACAATTAGTCATGGTTGATGTTCATGTTCAATCATGTTACCATCTCTCGACCGGAGTGTCAAATTATAGTTTGTATAGTGTTATGTGTTTCTATATCTGTTTCTACCCCTAGAAATATAATTACAATAAAGGGCGTTTCCCATCAGACCACAACAATTTGACTGCACCCTCATGGATACACTCAGTAATTCTATTTTTGTGTTTATACTTTTCTCTCAGGTGAAGTACGGGCATTTTGCCTTTGTGTGGGATGTGGCAGTGCTGGAGTATGTGGGCATCAACGATGAGGACTGCTCCTTTTACACTGTGGGGAACAAGGCACCAGACCGGGGCTACGGCATCGCCTTGCAGCACGGCAGTCCATACAGGGACATCTTCTCCCAGAGGTACGTTGAACATTATAAGGCTTTATAAGTGCTAATACATGCTTATAACAAGTAATATGTAATATAATATATGCTATTTATTCAACAGGTTTATCCAAAACGACTTACAGTAATGCATGCATCTATTTTTTGTATGGGTGGCCCCAGCGGGAATCAAACCAACAACCCCTGGTGTAAATAGCGCCATGCTCTACCGACTGACCCACACAGAGCTGCAAAAGGTGTAACTACACTATTCAGTGTGCAAGCAGCAGGGAATACAGTGTGCATACATACAGGCTACCCTAACTACACCATTGCCTCATCTACAGTGTGAGAAGGATTTAGTCAGTTCTGGTTTTGAAGTCAACTGCTGTATGGCCTTTCCGTGAAATGTCACCTTCGTTCAGTGGACTGGAGTTTGTCCAAGTCAATTTGTGAATGGACATTTGTGAAAGGACATAAAATGTGGTGATGGAATTATAGGTGGTTGATAGTTTGGCAAAGTACACCAAGACAATATGCTAAATCACTTCCCTATTAGAAATGACCTTTAAAATTACTGACAAGGTCATGTAGTAAAGCTCAATCATTATGACATGCTCAAGTGCCCCATCCACCTGTAATGCTGTGCTACCGCACTGAGAAAGATATCATTAGTCAACGTTTGTTTTGATTTCTATACACACTAAGAGAGGATCCTTCATGCCATCATGAGGCAGATGCAAGCTGAATTTGTATTTAGAATGAAAACGTGTATATGTGTGTGTGTGTGTTTATGTGTGCGTGTGTGTGTGTGTGTATATGAGTCCCAGCGTGTGATTCAGTGTTTCTGTTTATTCTCTTTGCACCTCTTTGTCTACTGATGCACAAAACTGCAGAATATTGCCACTAATGGTGGTTGTTAAAGTAAACAAGTTATTAATTGACAGTCCCATTTAATTCCTTGTCATTATTTCCAGGACATTGTCAGACTCTTGGGGATCACTTCCCAAACTAATTTTCATAAAACAGTGTACTAAAAGTGCTCCCTATGGTTCCCAAACAATGCAAGGGAAATGACTGAGAAGAAATTGTTTTGGAAACATGATTTCTTCTGACTTCTTGGATTATACAAGTCAATGAAGCACAACAATGAAATGATGGAGAAATTGTATTTGTCTCCCAGCAGTGGCAATACAATGTTTCACTCTCCATGGTGTTCCCCACTATCATCGCCAGGGTTGGAGAGTAACCGATTACATGTCATCTGTAACTGTAATCCATTACGCTACCAGCAAAAATATTGTAATCAGATTAGATACTTTCGAAAAACTCGATGATTACTTCTTGGATTACTTTTAAATTCATAAAGGATGTTTGTGGGGGAAAAAATACATTATGATACTTTCTGCTTTCTTAATGACATTCAATTCAGCATTGAAAAAAGGCGCAAGTTTAAGTTTGTTCCCCCTGAGCGAGTCAGACCACTATGATGACACACCAAATGCGTTGAAGGAAATAATCAAAAAGTAATTGAAGGTAATCAGATTACGTTACAAAATGTGGGTAATCCCAAAATTACGTTACTGATTATAAAGCAACTAGTAACTGTAATGCTGCGTTTAGACGAGGGATGCAAAAACCGTCACACCAGTCTGCAAAGCGGGAAAGGAAAGCAAGAAAGAAGGTGACGGCAAAAGCAATCTAGCATGAATGTATGCGTTACTATGGTGATATCAGTAAACAAACAGTGTAAATCAACATCCGATAGAAAACAACGCTACGGCAGATGGCAAAAGTTGAAATATTTGAACTCTGGCGGCATGTCCTGTCTACAGTGGCGGCTGATGGCATTCACCGCCAGCCTCAACGGCATCAGGCTCTTATTGAAAACAACGACATCCGGTTTGCCATTTACCATCTACCGTCTACCTCGTACCATGTAAACGCAGCATTACGGATTAGATGTAGAAAATAACCTACCCAACCCTGATCATCACACACAAATTTGTTTCCTCATTCATAGTGGAAGGAGATTTATTTTGCTGTGTCAGTTTGGCACCGATGTGGATGTGATGAGGAGTCAGGCGCAGGACACAGAGGTTTAGTCCAACAAACTTTACTATAGTAAAGTGAACAATAATCACTACACGACCTCGAAATACAGAGGCGAGAACAGTACGCAACATGCGTAAAACAAAACATGTAGAGCGCAAAACACGCAGCTCAAACGACACGCGGACAACAACACACAATATAACTAACACAAAACAGGGAACTTATAGGACACGTAATTAGGACACAAACAGACACAGGTGTACCAGACAGACCAAAGCAATCAACACACGAAACATACAACGGTGGCAGCTAGTATTCCGGGGACGGCGAACGCCGAAGCCTGCCCGAACCAGGAGGAGGAGCAGCCTCGGCCGAAACCGTGACAGTACCCCCCCCTTGACGCGCGGCTCCAGCCGTGCGCCGACCCCGGTCTCGGGGACGGCCAGGAGGACGCGGACCCGGGCGCGTGGGATGCCCACGGTGGAACTCTGTCAGGAGGGATGGGTCGAGGATGTCCCTCCTAGGCAACCAGCACCGTTCCTCCGGACCGTACCCCTCCCACTCCACGAGATACTGGAGACCACTCCTCCGGCGCCTCGAGTCCAATATAGTCCGGACCCTGTACGCCGGTGCCCCCTCGATGTCCAAAGGGGGTGGAGGGGTCTCTCCTATCTCCTCCTCTTGGAGTGGACCAGCTACCACCGGCCTGAGAAGAGACACATGGAACGAGGGGTTAATATTTTTGTACTCAATAGGCAGTTGTAATCTGTAACACACCTCGTTCAATCTTCTCAGGACTTTGAAGGGCCCCACAAACCGCCGACCCAGCTTCCGGCAGGGCAGGCGGAGGGGCAGGTTTCGAGTCGAGAGCCAGACTCGATCTCCCGGTGCGTACACCGGCCCCTCACTGCGGTGGCGATCGGCGCTCGCCTTGTGTTGACGGATGGCACGCTGCAGATGGACATGGGCAGCGTCCCACGTCTCCTCCGAGCGCCGAATCCACTCGTCCACCGCAGGGGCCTCGGTCTGGCTCTCGTGCCACGGTGCCAGGACCGGCTGATACCCTAAAATACACTGGAAAGGTGTTAATCCGGTGGAGGAGTGGCGGAGAGAGTTCTGGGCCATCTCTGCCCAGGGGATATACCTCGACCACTCCTCCGGCCGGTCCCGGCAATAGGACCTCAAAAACCTACCCACATCCTGGTTCACACGTTCAACCTGCCCATTGCTCTCTGGGTGGTACCCCGAGGTAAGGCTAACCGAGACCCCCAGGCGTTCCATGAACGCCCCCCAGACTCTGGAGGTGAACTGGGGACCTCGGTCGGACACAATATCCTCGGGGACCCCATCGTGCCGGAACACGTGGGTAAAGAGGGCCTCGGCGGTCTGTAGGGCAGTAGGGAGACCCGGCAGTGGGAGGAGACGACAGGCCTTAGAAAACCGATCCACAACGACCAAAATGGTGGTATTACCCTGGGAAGGGGGTAGATCGGTCACAAAATCCACCGAGAGGTGGGACCATGGTCGTTGTGGAACGGGCAGAGGATGTAACTTACCCCTGGGCAAATGTCTAGGTGCCTTACACTGGGCACACACCGAGCAGGAGGAGACATAAACCCTCACATCCCTGGCTAACGTTGGCCACCAGTATTTCACGCTAAGGCAGTGCACCGTCCGACCAATACCAGGATGTCCAGAGGAGGGTGATGTATGAGCCCAAGAAATAAGCCGATCACGAACCTCGAGCGGAACGTACGTCCGCCCCACAGGACACTCAGGGGGAGTAGGGTCGGTACGCAGCGCCCGCTCGATTTCCGTATCGACCTCCCATACTACCGGAGCCACCAGACAAGACTCCGGCAGTATGGAAGTAGGCTCAATGGACCTCTCCTCTGTGTCATACTGCCGGGACAGGGCGTCTGCCTTACCGTTCTGGGACCCAGGGATGTATGTGATCTTAAAAACAAACCGGGTCAGGAACATGTTCCACCTAGCCTGACGAGGGTTCAATCTCCTAGCTGCCCGGATGTACTCCAGGTTACGGTGATCAGTCAGAATGAGGAAAGGGTGTTGAGCCCCCTCAAGCCAATGCCTCCACACCTTTAGGGCCTGGACTACAGCTAACAGCTCCCTGTCCCCAACGTCATAATTGCGCTCCGCCGAGCTGAGCTTCTTAGAGTAGAACGCACAGGGGCGGAGCTTAGGTGGCGTGCCGGACCGTTGTGACAGGACTGCCCCAATACCGGTCTCGGACGCGTCCACCTCTACTTGGAAAGGCAAAGAGGGATCCGGATGCGCCAGCACCGGGGCCGAGACGAACAGGTTCTTCAGCTTGACAAATGCCCTGTCCGCCTCAGCTGACCACCGCAAGCGCACCGGATCCCCCTTTAGCAGGGACGTAATGGGAGCTGCAACCTGTCCACAGCCCCGGATAAACCTCCGGTAGTAATTAGCAAAACCCAAGAACCGCTGCACCTCTTTTACGGTGGTTGGAGTTTGCCAATTACGCACAGCCGCTACCCGATCTACCTCTATCTCCACGCCAGACGCGGACAACCGATAACCCAAAAAGGAGACGGACTCCTGGAAGAACAGGCATTTCTCTGCCTTGACATACAAGTCATGCTCCAACAGTCGTCTCAATACTCGGCGCACCTGGGCTACATGCTCGGCTCGTGTAGAAGAATACACTAGAATGTCGTCAATGTACACCACTACAACCTGCCCATGCATGTCCCGGAAAATCTCGTCAACAAAGGATTGGAAGACTGAAGGAGCATTCATTAACCCGTATGGCATGACGAGATACTCGTAATGACCCGAGGTGGTGCTAAATGCTGTTTTCCATTCATCCCCCTCCCTAATGCGCACCAAATTGTACGCGCTCCTGAGATCCAACTTTGTGAAGAACCGCGCTCCGCGTAATGACTCCGTCATCGTCGCAATCAGTGGAAGTGGGTAACTGTATTTTACTGTGATCTGATTGAGACTACGGTAATCAATACACGGGCGCAATCCCCCGTCCTTCTTCTTCACAAAGAAGAAACTCGAGGAGACCGGAGAAGTAGAGGACCGTATGTATCCCTGTGCCAAGGACTCGGCTATGTAAGTCCCCTGTCTATGAGGAGGTAGCCGTGCTGCCCTCGATTTGCTAAACGCTAGTGCTAAATCCTCATACTCGGGGGGAATGCGCAGTGCGGGCACTTGGTTCGGACTCTCTACCGAGGTCGCCCCTATGGAAACACCTAGACATCTCCCTACACACTGGGCAGACCACTCCATAAGAGCCCTCTGTTGCCACGCTATGGTAGGATCGTGGGTGCTTAACCAGGGAAGCCCCAACACCACTGGGTACGCAGGAGAGTCAATCAGATAGAACTGAATGATTTCCTCATGACCCCCCTGCGTCGTCATCGTCAGCGGTGCTGTGACATCCCTGATCAGACCCGACCCCAACGGCCGGCTGTCTAATGCGTGGACAGGGAATGGAACTTCTACCGGCCGAAGGGGAATTCCTAACCTAGCACAAAATGCCCGATCAATAAAGTTCCCAGCTGCGCCTGAATCTACTAGCGCCTTATGCTGGGAATGAGGTGCCACCTGTGTAAAACGCACAGGAATACTCATGTGACCAACAGAGAGCTCTGGGTAAGTGGGGCGCCTACTCACCTGAAATGACTCCCCAGTGCGTGACCTGTTGTCCCCTCTCTCAGAAGACCCTCCCCAGCACCTGGCCGCGGTGTGTCCTCCACGGCCACAGTTGGTGCAGGGGGTGGCCCCCCTCGGGTTCTCTCTCCTCCTCTCTCTAGCGCCAGCACCCCCGAGCTCCATAGGAATTGGCTCGGAGGTGCTGGAGGATGGAATGGACGACCCCCACTCGGGACGTCCGCGGGTGGCCAGCAGGGTGTCAAGCCGGATGGAGATGTCCACCAGCTGGTCGAAGCATAGGTTGGTGTCCCTGCAGGCCAGCTCACGACGAACGTCCTCTCGCAGGCTACACCGGTACTGGTCGATGAGGGCCCTCTCATTCCATCCTGCATCCGCAGCTAACGTCCGGAACTCCAGTGCGAACTCCTGTGCGCTCCTCTTCTCCTGTCGGAGGTAGAACAGACGCTCCCCCGCCGCCTTCCCTTCAGGTGGGTGATCGAAGACTGCCCGGAAGCGGCGGGAGAACTCAGCGTAGGTGATGGTAGCTGCGTCTATTCTCCTCCATTCGGCGTTGGCCCACTCCAACGCCTTTCCGGATAGACAGGAGATGAGGGCGGAGACGCTCTCGTATCCCGAGGGCGCTGGGTGTATAGTAGCCAGGTATAGTTCTACCTGCAGGAGGAACCCCTGACACCCGGCTGCAGAACCGTCATATGCCCTCGGGAGCGAGAGCCGAATACCACTGGGTTCCGGCGCTGAGAGAGGAGGACTGACCGGTGGTGATGGGATGGTGTATGAGGACGTGGGCACCTCTCCATTAGCCAACCGGTGCAGAGTGTTGGACACCTCGCCCAGAACGGCCTCCAGTTGCCGGATCATGGAGTCCTGCTGACTGAGCCGTTCTTCTAGCGACCAGGTTGTCGTCGCTGATCCTGCTGACTCCATAGAAGGTGTGTTGTTCTGTCAGTTTGGCACCGATGTGGATGTGATGAGGAGTCAGGCGCAGGACACAGAGGTTTAGTCCAACAAACTTTACTATAGTAAAGTGAACAATAATCACTACACGACCTCGAAATACAGAGGCGAGAACAGTACGCAACATGCGTAAAACAAAACATGTAGAGCGCAAAACACGCAGCTCAAACGACACGCGGACAACAACACACAATATAACTAACACAAAACAGGGAACATATAGGACACGTAATTAGGACACAAACAGACACAGGTGTACCAGACAGACCAAAGCAATCAACACACGAAACATACAACGGTGGCAGCTAGTATTCCGGGGACGGCGAACGCCGAAGCCTGCCCGAACCAGGAGGAGGAGCAGCCTCGGCCGAAACCGTGACATGCTGTAGTAGTCCATTTAAAGTTTTGCTGTGTGTGATCATATAGCGCTTTGAAATAGCATCAGTATTCATTATCAAACTGTGCCAACATTCTCTCAACTATTGGTATTTGAAGGCATGGAATAGCATGGGGTTGATATTGCGTTTGAATAAAAACATGGATATCTCCAAGGCTTTTGTTGGCCTTCTCAATCAGAATTTCAAGTCCTCAAAAGAAAATAGATACAAGACATTGCTATCAAATATTTCCAAGCTATCAATAGTCAGGGAGCCTGTGGATTTTGAAGTGTACTGGGTATTTTTTAATCTCTTGTCTACTCACAGAATATTTTGCAGTTCCCTGTCTATTAAGATAAAGATGAAAAATAATAGATCTGCTTTAACATTGTGGAAAGAGAGAGGGTGTGTGTGTGTCTGTGTGTAGGTGTGTGGTGGGGGTGGGGGGGCTGCATACATGTGTGCATGTGTGCTTGCGTGCATGCGCGTGTGTGTGTCTCGTTGATAGAGTACTGCCATTACATTACTCATCCCAAATGCTACTTGTTGTTCACCTTGGTAGAATCAAACAACCCAGAAGAAACAGTTCCAAGAAAGCGGTCCTGTTTTCCACTTACTGGAGAGAGTGTGAGTCACTGTGCCACCATAGTGTACTGGTAATGATGTGTGGTACCCAGACTGAGTTGATCATCCAGACATAGTAGACAGTCAGAATACTGCTGTTTTCAGGGATTAGATCAAAACTACTGATTTCAGGTGAGAACCCTCTGAGTCTTGCACTGAAACAGCAGCTGCATGCACACACAGCCACACACACACACATACAGTGCCTTCGGAAAGTATTCAGACCCCTTGACTTTTTCCACATTTTGTTATGTTACAGCCTTATTCTTAAATGTATTAAATTGTTTTTTTTTCATCATCAATCTACACACAATACCCCATAATGACAAAGCAAAAACAGGTTTTTATAAATGTTTGCTAATTCATTAGTTTGTATAGTGTTCAAGGTTGTATATTCATTCAAAACTGAAATATAACATTTACATAAGCATTCAGAAAGTATTCAGACCCCTTGACTTTTTCCACATTTTGTTACATTAAAGCCTTATTCTAAAATTGATTCAAACATTTTTTTCCCATCATCAATCTACACACAGTACCCCATAATGTCAAAACAAAAAAATTGAAATATCACATTTACATAAGTATTCAGACCCTTTACTCAGGACTTTGCTGAAGCACCTTTGGCAGCGATTACAGCATGGCGTCTTCTTGGGGATGACACTACAAGCTTGGCACACCTGTATTTGGGTCACCTCCCTGACCAAGGCCCTTCTCCCCCGATTGCTCAGGTTGGCCGGGCGGCCAGCTCTAGGAAGAGTCTTGGTGGTTCCAAACTTTGCTCTGACATAAACTGTCAACTGTGGGACCTTATATAGACAGGTTTGTGCCTTTCCAAATCATGTCCAAACAATTGAATATACCACAGGTGGACTCCAATCAAGTTGTAGAAACATCTCAAGGATGATCAATGGAAACAGGATGCACCTGAGCTCAATTTCGAGTATCATAGCAAAGGGTCTGAATAATTACGTAAATAAGGTATTTCTGTTTTTGCAAAAATGTCTAAAAATCTGTTTTCGCTTTGTCATTATGGGGTATTGTGTGTAGATTGTTGAGTTTTTTTTCTTCAATCCATTTTAGAATAAGGCTGTACCATAACAAAATGTGGAAAAAGTCAAGGGGTCTGAATACTTTCCGAAGGCACTGTATACACACTTATACACATACACACGCGCATACACACACCTCCCCCCCCCCCCCCCTTCCCACACACACACACACAGACAGACACACTCGGGGGCTGTAGGAGACACACACGACAGCCGTAGATTCATAGTCTGCCTTCTCTAATGTCTTCAGTGCCTATGCCGTACTGGTGGAGCCAGCCATGACTCATCATTTCTCCTTTCGTTTGTCATTGTTGTTCTTGGTCAGGGTTCCTCCTCAGTTCTTCCATTTGGCTCGTATGTCACAGGATGAATAAACTGTTTACCTCAACCAGAGTGTGAGGCGCAGTCTTGGCTAATATGAAAGTGTTGTGTAGCAGGACACACTGAATTAGGAAAAGTAGTGGTTTAAGGAAAGGTGTACAGAGGCGCAGTGTAATGCATTCAGTATAGTGACACATAGCACAATACAGGTATCGACCACACTCATTAAATTGACTAAAAGAGATGGAAATGCTTCGCCAGGAAACTATTACTTTCATTGTTTGTAATTCTGGAATCAGTGTCGGTGGAGCCCTCCCAAAGTGGTGGGGAATTGACCCTAGTAATGGCATTCAGTCACCAATGGCACAGTGAGTGACAGCGTTCTTCTTAGAACTTGAGGGTCCATGGCGCTGTGTGCATGTGTGTGTGTTTCAGCCGTGGCCTCGGGGTCGCTTTCCAGTTTGTGGAAATGACTCCATTTTGAGGAGGCTCCATTGTGGCAGTGAGAATGGGATCGACACCTGACATCGTCAATCTCTTGTTATCTGGAACAATGACAGAGCTGTCACTTACAGTCCCATCCATCAACATTAGACAAACTCACGCCCCTGAAACTCTCATTAAAACCCATAAGTGGGATTTAATGAATGAGTAGTTGACATTTCTGCTATCTTACCAGAGATTCCCTCAGTTGTTTGCTTCGCCCCCATAAATGGGTCGCTACACTGTCAAAATACGTTTGCAAGTACAATTTGTGACCTAAGATTGCTTGTATGTTATATAGGGATTTGCTCAAACTTCTAGAAATCCTATTATTCTAGCTGTTTGAGATTTGTTGAGCTAGAGACAAAAATATTGCAAATGTAGTGGAGATATGTATTCATCACCAAACGTGCTATGTAGTTAGATAGCTAGACATTTGCTTTCTGTTCATATTCTTATTTTTTACTATTTCTTATTGTTCTTGCATTGTCGAGAAGGAACCTGCAAGTAAGCATTTCATTTGACGATGTATACCATGCGTATCCCGTACATATGACTAATAAAATGTGAAACTCATTGCTCTCTGGACTCTTTTCCCCACTCATACCACTTTGTATGATTTGGTTATTGTAGTGGCCTAATTGTACCACTAATTATGATGATTTGTGACTGTGAATCTGGAATGGGCATGAGTGGCGTTATGAAGAAGCTCTATGGAGGTAGCAGTCAGACAGTGAGAATACAGTTTGGCTGTGAGTGGGGTTAGCACCATGGCCGTCATGCCTCCATTGTCCTCATTTAAGGAGTTGCCACTCAGAGTGCACTCTGCACAAGGAGCTCATCTTAGAACAGTAACTCTCCTGTGCTCCTTTTGACATTTTGTAATCATGTTGTTAGAAATTCTCCCAGATGGAACATACTGCCATTTCCTATTTTTTCTATTTTTGTGGCATTGAAGTGTTTCTTATAAAGTTTGGATGCAATGGAACAAGTTTGCACCTTTTTGCATAAGCTATAGCTTGAGATAAGATAAGAGCAGAATACGATACGATAAGATAAGTTAAGATAAGATCATTTATTTATTATCCACATGGGGACAATTTGTTTGCGGCTCTGTGCATACACTAATCACATATCAACCATAGACAAAAGACAAGCAATTATTACAGACAATAAATACAACCAATGAAAGAGTAGACAAAGTGCAGTTCATGTGGGATTCATAATTATTCTGTACACTATACACATTTGTACACTATCGACTACAGCAGTGTTTCTCAACTCCAGTCTTTGAATACCCCAAACACTACACATTTTTATTCTAGTCCTGGACAAGCACACCTGATTCAACTTGCCAACTAATCATCAAGCCCTCGATGAGTTGAATCAGGTGTGTTTGTCCAGGGTTACAATACAAATGTGTGCAGTTGTGGGTACTCGAGGACTGGAGTTGGGAAACACTGGACTACAGTATCAACTAAAGGCCTGCCTGCTGGACCTACTAGTGTTTTTAGAAGCCTTATTGCCTCTGGGATTAAAAATTGTTTGGCTCTATTCTTTTTATGCCCTGGTGCCTGGTATCGTCACCCTGAGGGGAGTAGCTCAAACTCCTGGTATAGAGGATGTCTGGGGCCCATGAGTACCTTCTATAAATGACTTCTATAAAAGCAATTTGCCTATGAATACGAACCTGAGACACAATTCTTGTTTAAAGACTCTGGACCCCGGATTTATCTGTGTGTGTGTGTGTGTTTGCGTGTGTGTGTGTGTGTGTGTGTTTGTGTTTGCGTGCGTGCGTATGTTCGTACACACAAAATTGTCTTTGTATGTAGGTTTTATGTGCCGTTGTCTGTGTTCAACTGAAATGTAGCATCTCTAAATCAAGGGTGTCGTTTTTTTCTGCCTCAGATGTTATAATTTGTTTGCGTCACTGTTGAATTTCTGCAGTTCCTTTTATCTTTTATTTTCTTGTCTTCTTGTCTTCTCTTTAGTCTTATCAAGTACGGTAGTTTGTCTGCCGCCGTCAAGGCCATCTAATAACATATGATCATTTCTGCAGCAGTCGGTTGCCTTGGCAACCACTCCAGTAGTCCACACTAATCGCCATGCAGAGCCCAAGAGGCAGAAAGGCTGGCTGGTACAGCAGCCAGGTCACCCGGGATACAAGTCAGTATTCAACGTCCATCCAGGTCTGAGGACGTCGGGAGATGACGTGGAAACCGGCCACTAGGGGCAACAGTGAGCGCTGTTACCTTCAAGTAGGTTTCGGTTTTGCATTCGAATCCAGCGATAGAAAGTTGTTTTTATATATTTTTGCTTTAAGCCTATCCCAAACCTTTGGAACCACTTCGAAATTTGACGTTTGAGAAACATGGATGAACGTCTAATTCTGACGTGAGACTGTGAGAGCTGGTAGGGTACAGATCTTCCCACCTACCACTAGTGATCGGTAATCGGTTATGGACTAGAGCTAGGTCACTATTCAGAGTTCTCTACAGCCCAGGTCATGGAGAGCCTGCAAGAGGAAAACACCAACCAACCTACTGCACACACACACACACACAGTCATGCAGTCTGTTCACCTATTGTGTTCTTTGAAATAGCACACGGTCAGTCTAACGAAGGCTAAACATTTTATAACTAACCCGAAGTGACACATTGGTGAACCCCTGACCCAGTCACAGTCACTAGAATGACACGGGGGTTGAGAGTGACAAGGCTGTTCCTATTATGTACAGGCCCAGATCAGCCATCCAGTCACCTTGGAGGTGACATTTCTCTAGCCCCAGTTGGAGCTCATCTTTTGGGTGATACCTCCTGTCACCATTGCACAGCACCTGGGGTCCGCAAGCCCTCAATTGCTCCATTCCCGCTCCTTCACTCCATCTCGCCGTGGGGTGACATATACAGTATAATTGGGGTGTGGAGTGGGAAGGAGGAGGGGATGCTTCTTTTGTATTGCGTGTGTATGGCTCATGGTAGCTAAGTTGAAACACAAATAGTTATCTTTGGAAGTCACAGTGTGCTGTGAGTACACTAGATGCATAGGAGACAGATCTTAATAGTTGCTGCAATAGAATAAATCATTTTGTAATGTAAATGAAAACATGTCTTATTTTGTGTATCCAACATGAGGTGTACGTAAGGTGGCAGGTAGCCTAGCAGTTAAGAGTGTTGGGCCAGTAACCGAAAGGTCGCTGGTTCGAAAACCCTAGGTGAAAGATCTGTCGATGTGCTCTTGAGCAAGGCACTTAACCCGAATTGCTCTTGTAAGTCGCTCTGGATAAGAGCGTCTGCTAAATTACAAAAATGTGAATTAACAACTTGATGTGATATATCTGTTTTGGAGCAAAATATTGCAATAAAAGAGCAACATTTCCACAGAGATAAAACATGCTGAAAAATTTTGACGATATTACCATATTACTCCAATTAGTGCATGTAGGCAGTGATAAACGACTAAGCGCTCACGGTAGCTTTCCACATTGACTGAGCTTCTTTGAAGCTTCTTTTCTTCTTCTTTCTTCTACGATCTCAAGTGTTTTGTTTACTCTAAAGTATGATCACTTTTTTCCAGTTCTTTTCTGTAAAAATGCATCCGTCGTGTGTTTGTTTGTGTGTGTGTATGTGTGCGTGCGTGTGTGCGTTTGTGCGTGTGACAGGGGGTTGGGTTAAAAAGCAAAACACACATTTCTGTGCACTGTAAGAGAATAAATGACAATCAAGTATTCGGAAATATTGACAAGCAAGCAAACACCCATACTTGAAAAATCTCACCACTTGGATGATTTCCGAGATTGATGTAATTGAATATGTTTGACGGAATTGCTGACTGCGTTTTGATAACTGAGGTACAGTGGGGGGAAAAAGTATTTAGTCAGCCACCAATTGTGCAAGTTCTCCCACTTAAAAAGATGAGAGAGGCCTGTAATTTTCATCATAGGTACACGTCAACTATGACAGACAAATTGAGATAAAAAATTCCAGAAAATCACATTGTAGGATTTTTAATGAATTTATTTGCAAATTATGGTGGAAAATAAGTATTTGGTCACCTACAAACAAGCAAGATTTCTGGCTCTCACAGACCTGTAACTTCTTCTTTAAGAGGCTCCTCTGTCCTCCACTCGTTATCTGTATTAATGGCACCTGTTTGAACTTGTTATCAGTATAAAAGACACATGTCCACAACCTCAAACAGTCACACTCCAAACTCCACTATGGCCAAGACCAAAGAGCTGTCAAAGGACACCAGAAACAAAATTGTAGACCTGCACCAGGCTGGGAAGACTGAATCTGCAATAGGTAAGCAGCTTGGTTTGAAGAAATCAACTGTGGGAGCAATTATTAGGAAATGGAAGACATACAAGACCACTGATAATCTCCCTCGATCTGGGGCTCCACGCAAGATCTCACCCCGTGGGGTCAAAATGATCACAAGAACGGTGAGCAAAAATCCCAGAACCACACGGGGGGACCTAGTGAATGACCTGCAGAGAGCTGGGACCAAAGTAACAAAGCCTACCATCAGTAACACACTACGCCGCCAGGGACTCAAATCCTGCAGTGCAAGAGGTGTCCCCCTGCTTAAGCCAGTACATGTCCAGGCCCGTCTGAAGTTTGCTAGAGTGCATTTGGATGATCCAGAAGAGGATTGGGAGAATGTCATATGGTCAGATGAAACCAAAATATAACTTTTTGGTAAAAACTCAACTCGTCGTGTTTGGATGACAAAGAATGCTGAGTTGCATCCAAAGAACACCATACCTATTGTGAAGCATGGGGGTGGAAACATCATGCTTTGGGGCTGTTTTTCTGCAAAGGGACCAGGACGACTGATCCGTGTAAAGGAAAGAATGAATGGGGCCATGTATCGTGAGATTTTGAGTGAAAACCTCCTTCCATCAGCAAGGGCATTGAAGATGAAACGTGGCTGGGTCTTTCAGCATGACAATGATCCCAAACACACCGCCCGGGCAACGAAGGAGTGGCTTCGTAAGAAGCATTTCAAGGTCCTGGAGTGGCCTAGCCAGTCTCCAGATCTCAACCCCATAGAAAATCTTTGGAGGGAGTTGAAAGTCCGTGTTGCCCATCAACAGCCCCAAAACATCACTGCTCTAGAGGAGATCTGCATGGAGGAATGGGCCAAAATACCAGCAACAGTGTGTGAAAACCTTGTGAAGACTTACAGAAAACGTTTGACCTGTGTCATTGCCAACAAAGGGTATATAACAAAGTATTGAGAAACTTTTGTTATTGACCAAATACTTTTTTTCCACCATAATTTGCAAATAAATTCATTACAAATCCTACAATGTGATTTTCTGGAGAAAAAAAATCTCATTTTGTCTGTCATAGTTGACGTGTACCTATGATGAAAATTACAGGCCTCTCTCATCTTTTTAAGTGGGAGAACATGCACAATTGGTGGCTGACTAAATACTTTTTTTACCCACTGTATCTCCCTCATTCCATTCCATTAGATTGTGTGCATTTGATAACTGAGGTATCTCCCTCATTCCATTCCATTAGATTGAGTGCATTTGATAACTGAGGTATCTCCCTCATTCCATTCCATTAGATTGAGTGCATTTGATAACTGGGGTATCTCCCTCATTCCATTCCATTAGATTGAGTGCATTTGATAACTGAGGTATCTCCCTCATTCCATTCCATTAGATTGAGTGCATTTGATAACTGAGGTATCTCCCTCATTCCATTCCATTAGATTGAGTGCATTTGATAACTGAGGTATCTCCCTCATTCCATTCCATTAGATTGAGTGCAATCCCTCTTTCCATTGTTTTCCTTTTCGAGCCTGTCTTTGTCAGCAGCGTAACAACTACAGTATCAATCGTCGAGCTCAAATCTTAGACTGACTTTGAGGAATCATGATGACATTTCCTCCAATATGTTGTCTCTGTTTCTGATTGGACGTTTCACTCGCATGTAGTCCTCTTTTTTGATTCCATCTGAGCCATCTTTGAGTAATCTGTTATGTGGGGCTTATCTAAATAAGATCCCTTAGTCTCCCAACAGTAATCCCAAATCAGACCTTACAGTTCTATATGTGCCTATCTGAGGATTTATCTCTCAAACACTTTATTCCAACCATGTATTATCTGGCAAGCTGTCCATGTGTGCCTTCTAGTTCCAAAGGAGTCGAGAGGTTAAAATAATGTCTATAATAGAGAATGATATGTTATTGAAATAAGATGTTCTCCTCTGCCATCATTCATTTTCCAATTATGTAAACTACCATTTCAATACATTTGCATTTGAGATAGATTGGCAGCATTTTTTTACATGTTATACTTTGTAGAGGCAGAGTCAAAGATAAGCTTTGTCATTCAAGTCACTCGTGTGTCTGTGTCCGTGTGCGGGCTGTTCATTTTGTTTTCTGCGATACCGCAAGCCAGACCTCTGAAATATAGTTCCGTAAATTAACAGAAGCCTCCAATCAACCTTTGAGGGTTTTTATTGGATGTCATAATTAATTTGCTTTAGCTGGACAGCATAATGTCATTAGAGAAAAGTACCTATACTCTGCTACAAAACATATTCATATTTCTTATAATAACAGCTGTCAGTCTGTGGCACCATTATTTGTCCGATATTGCCCTCTAGTGTTGTAGGACCATTCAAACAACTGCAGAGAATCAGGGTGAATCTCATGTATTTTCTTGATTCCAAGTGTCCTCTCTTGCATTGGAGGAGAAGATTCAAGGTTTCCTCTCTGACCTTCTCCTCCAATGTCTTTTGAGAAGGAGGCGAGGAGAGAGGATGCGAGGAATCCAGGAAATAGAATTGAGATTCACCCCTCAGATCATCATACAATGTGAATGACATGAATCATACTCAGTGCTTGCCTTTGAATACAACAACCTTATTTTAGTCTAGCCAGAGTCATAAATATGGCATGGACTCTACAAGGAGTCGAAAGCGTTCCACAGAGATGCTGGCCCATGTTGATGCCAATGCTTCCCACAGTTGTGTCAAGTTGGCTGGATGTCCTGTGGGTGGTGACCTTTCTTGATACACACGGGAAACTGTTGAGCACGTGAAAAACCCAGCAGTGTTGCAGTTCTTGACACACTCAAACCGGTGCCTACTACCATACCCCATTCAAAGTTACTTAAATATTTTGTCTTGCCCATTCACCCTCTGCATGGCACACATGTCTCAATTGTCTCAAGGTTTAAAAATCCTTATTTAACCTGTCTCCTCCCATTCATCTACATTGATTGAAGTGGATTTAACAAGTGACATCAGTAAGGGATCATAGCTTCCACCTGGTCAGTCTATGTCATGGAAATGTTTTGTACTCTCAGTTTATATGGCTCTGGCTAGACTAAAATAAGGTTGTTGTATTCCTGGCACCACTCTTCCAGGGCCCTCACCACCTCCCTGTAGGCTGTTTCGTCGTTGTTGGTAATCAGGCCTACCACTGTTGTGTCGTCTGCAAACTTGATATGATTGAGTTGGAGGCGTGCGTGGCCACGCAGTCATGGATGAACAGGTAGCACAGGAGGCTACTGAGCATGTACCGATGTGGGGCCCCTGTGTTGAGGATCAGCGTAGCGGATGTGTTGTTGCCTACCTTCACCATCTGGGGGTGGCCCGTCAGGAAGTCCAGGAACCAGTTGCACAGGGCGGGGTTCAGACCCAGGGCCCCAAGCTTAGTGATGAGCTTGGAGGGCACTATGGTGTTGAAGGCTGAGCAGTAGTCGATGAACAGCATTCTTACATAGGTATTCCTCTTGTCCAGATGGAATAGGGCAGTGTGCAGTGCGATGGCACCATTGGTGGACCTGTTGTATGCAAATTGTAGTGGATCTAGGGTGTCGGGTAAGGTAGAGGTGATATGATCCTTAACTAGCCTCTCAAAGCACTTAATGATGACAGAAGTGAATGCTACGGGGCGACAGTCATTTAGTTCAGTTACCTTTGCTTTCTAGGGTACAGGAACAATGGTGGACATCTTGAAGCAAGTGGGAAAACAGACTGGGAAAGGGAGAGATTGAATATGTCCGTTAACACTCCAGCCAGCTGGTCTGCACATGCTCTGAGTTACTGTGCGATTTAACATTAGAATGGGCAAAACAAGTGACCTAAGAAACTTTGAGCGTGGTATGATTGTCGGTGCCAGGTGTGCCGGGTACAGTATCTCAGAAATGTCCAGCCTCCTGGGCTTTTAATGCACGACAGTGTCTAGGGTTTACCGAGAATGGTGCGACTAACAAAAAACATCCAGTCAGCGGCAGTCCTGTGGGCGAAAACAGCTCATTGATGAGAGAGGTCGAAGGAGAATATGAAGAATTGAGCAAGCTAACAGGTGGGCCACAAACAGACAAATAACAGGGCAGTAGAACAGTGTTGTGCAGAACGGCATCTCGGAAACGCACAACTCGTAGGTCCTTGTCATTGATGGGCTATTGCAGCAGACGACCACACCAGGTTCCACTCCGATCAGCTAAAAACAAGAAGAAGCGGGCACTCAATCACCAACACTGGTCAATTGAGGAGTGGAAAAACATTGCCTGGTCTGATGAATCCCAGTTCCTGTTGCGTCATGCTGATGGTAGAGTCAGGATTTGGCGTAAGCAGCATGAGTCAATGGCCCCATCCTGCCTGGTGTCAACGGTACAGGCTGGTGGTGGTGGTGTAATGGTGTAGGAAATGTTTTCCTGGCACACGTTAGGTCCCTTAATACCAATTGAGCAGCGTTTGAATGTCACACCTTGTAGAGTCCATGTCCCGAAGAATTCAGGCTGTTCTGGAGGCAAAGGGGGGTCCGACCCAGTACTAGATGGGTGTACCTAATAAATATGGCTCTGAGTCTAAGCTACTTACTCATAAGGGGAAATAGATCATAACCTACAACCTGAAGAAAATATGATGCGGGTCCTGTTCCTGTATACACCTGCAGACAATAACATAGTACTCAATTTGTTTGTGTGTGTATCTGTGTGCGCGCGTCCGTCTGTCCGTGCATGCATGTGCGCTTGTGTGTGCGTCTATCCGTGTGTGTGTGTCAGGATCCTGGAGCTGCAACAGAACGGGGACATGGACATCCTGAAGCTGAAGTGGTGGCCCCGGGACAGCCCGTGTGACCTGTACTCGGCGGTGCACACCAAACACCGCGGCAGCGCCCTGGACATCCACAGTTTCGCCGGCGTGTTCTGCGTGCTGGCGGCCGGTGTGGTGCTCTCCTGTCTCATCGCCATGGTGGAGACCTGGTGGACAAGGAGGAAGGGCTCACGAGTCCCCTCCAAAGAGGTGAGGAGCTGGGGGAGGCCAGGGTGGTTGTGGGGGTCTGTGTCTGGGGGTCTTGTAACACTTGACTTGAACGCTCTGTTTTCCGGCTGTATGTCATGGCTGTCATGTCTACTGTACATGGTGTCAGTGTCATGATGTAACAGATGTTTGTACGTAGTCAGGAGAGATGTCGTTGACCTGTCAGTCAAGTGGTCTGTCCCTTGCTGTGGTGTCAAAGCTGTCCCTGGCCAGCTGGTTAGGACGGACAATAAACAAACATTTGGCATTTGAGAAGATGAACACAGTGAAACTCCGGCACACTCCAGGGTTTTCTCTCTATGCCACTGGAACTACGTAAGGCGTGGGAACAAACCTCTTTTCAGAAGATACTGTATCATCAACTTAACTGACATCTGTTGCTGTGATTGCACATGACATAGAATGCGTCCCAAATGGCACCCTATTCCCTATGGAGTCCACTACTTTTGACAAGGACAACCAGGGTCCATATGACTCTGGTCAAAAGAAGTGCACTATGTAAGGAATAGGGTGCCATTTGGGACACACACATGCTGTAGTATTTGAGGGGGTTTGGGTGAAATGTCACCAGTTTCAAGTGTATTTGTAAAATTAATAAAAGGAAAGGGGCCGGAAGCTCACACAAGCTACACTGACTAGAATGGTCATGGTTTCAGGGGTTAGACCACCATGAGCATCATCAATTGCAGCAACAGTTAGTCACTCAAAAGACAAAAGGTGTTTGGAAAGTGTCTATCTAAATATTTCCTTGAAAGTCTGATTCCTCAAAGATAAAGTATTTTTATGCCACATATTTACGGTAGTATAAAGACAGCCTATGGGATTGCTCCAGCATGGTCTAACCCAGACAGAGACAGGGACAGACTGGGACCAGAAATCGGCGCAGGAATTCCTAACAAACTGGCTAATTCTCTTCATCGAGGCCCACAAACCGGCATATTTTTTTCCCCTCAAGGCCCTCAAATAAGGACCATTCAGCGCAAAATCCCAATTTAGACAGGCCCACTAGGCTAAAAATGGACCAGTCCATCTGGCATTTGTGTCTCTGTCCAGTCCGTTTCTGGACAGAGACATAAATGCAGACTCTTGTGTTAACTACACCATAGAGTCACAGAGAAGAGGGCGCACCAGCTTGAAACCGAAACGTATCCAATGTTAAAGGGCTGTAGTGAATTTTGATCTCCCCTGTACATCTGACTGCTCACACAAGGTACAGCCATGCATAGCACAATAATTGCTCTTTCCTATCTCTCTTTCTGTCATATCTCTTCTTCCACTAATCCCCCTAATGAGCAGGTAGGCATAGCCAAGGTGTTTTTATCACTTCCAAACCTAAGCAAAGTCGTTATGGAAATGATTGGCCCTGAGTCTCGAGGACTGTGAAATCCTACTCAGCAAAGCTGATATGAAATGCAAATGTACTAACGAGCAGAGAGTAATGCAATTATGGAAAATAAATATTGTCATACCCTGTTTAGTGTTCATAAGTCCTGTATAAATTAGAATCACAAATTAAATCAAGCCATGCATGGAGTTAATTTAGGATAATTGTTTTGAAAATGCATTTTGTAATAAAGTAAAGTAAATCTTAGAATGAGGGTCAGTTTACCGCTAAAAGAATAGTTTTACTCCATTAACATTATACTTTCTTAAATTTCGCATTTAATTTCCCAAGTTGCAGAGATCCCTCTCAACCCACCTATCAAGTCACAACCAACATGTACACACCCTCATCTATAACCCCTCTGCCATGCTCTCCTCTCCTCCCCTTCCCACCTCTCCTATCCCCTCCTATCCTGTCCTCTCAGCTGGTGTCTGTATGTTGTGTTCCGACTGGGTCACGACATCATAGCCACGCCACAGGAAGCCGGGTGCTCAACAGAATGCCTGTTTCATCTCTTCACCTCAACAATAATGAAAGCTTTTGATCAAGGCAGCGAGGCCTGTGTCGTCTCAAGTCTGTTCCCCATCATAGCACCCCACCCCAGCTTTCTATCCCCCTCTACCCACTACCCATGACCCCCTGCACTCACAGCAGCTTTCATGTGTCAGGTTAACTAGTGAGCCTGTCTGGCCAGTGGTCATAGACAAAGAAGCCCAGTAGCCCCCTGCCATCTTTATTACCCTTCAATACAGGGACCCTGACTGACCAGCGTGTTGGTGCCTGGGGTTCAAGGTCTTTGTAATGGACAGCATTGAGAAATCAATGTGATTAGCCCATCACTTAATTTAGCACTCAAATAGTCCTATCAGAATTGACCTTTACTTTGGTTAGGTACTGCTTGGATATTAGTTGCATTGTTCAAAAAACTGTATTTGCATGGCATGGATTTTAAAGAGAGAGTTTAGTAAACAGCTGGAAGGCAGTAGTGATCTGTTGCGAGCCCTCACCCTCTTTGAATATTGAACTGATTTGGCTAATTCACATGAAACTGGATTGGAGTGCTGCATTATAAACGTTGGACTTTATACCATTTACGGAATCCAAGGGTTGTAGTGGTAGCCTAAAGATGCCATGGTGAAGGCAGTGGTGTCTTAGCCATGTTGTTTAGTTGAGCCCTACACTTCACCCTGCCCATGGCCCACAGCGACGCTGGTGACCGTGGTTACGGACCGTGGTTACGGTCGGCGGGATGGTGGTGGTGAGGTCACATCCTGCTGGGCCCAGTGCAGTGTGTCAGAGTGACCCAGTGTGTCTGCAGTCAAGAGGATATCACTAGGAGCCATCAGCTTCCTCAATATACTGCACTACTGCCCTTTCTCATTAGGAATGGCCCTTCCCTCCGGTCCTCAATATAGGTATCATCCCAAATGGCACCCTATTTCCTTTATAGTGCACTACTTTCGACCAGGGCTTGAAACCATTAGTCTCTGGTCAAAGGTAGTGCACTATGTCTGGAATAATGTGCCAATTGGAATGGACCCATAGTATAAATGCTCCTTAGCTCTCTCACACACAGACAGACATACAACAAGCTTACAGCGTGCATACAAGCATACGCACACCAACAAACACAGAGGAATGTCACAGCTGCTATCAGTAATATGATATCAATTGCATTAGGCTTGTCGCAATTGAATTAAAATGCTCCAATCCTTTTCAAGATATCAAATTGAACTGAGTCAAATGTCTACCTTGTCCCGTTTGTTGTCCGTTTTGCATAACGCCTCGATGATTTCCAATACTTCCATTCTCCTTTTCCTTCATCAGTTGCAATAAACAAAATGGTCACCTAAAGATTCAACAATAATAATAATCATAATCATGTATTACTACTCTATGGGAATAAACACACACACACACACACACGGTCCACAAACACACAGCTCCCACTGAGCTCCAACCCAAAACCACGTTAGCTGCCTGGGGACGAGCTGTTTGTATCTCAGTTGTCCTCCTGGAGCATGAATGCTGCATACTGGACATCCATGTTCAGGCCTCTGCTTCTATGTGATCACTGTCAGTGTTTCTGTGTTGCGTCTCTGTGTTGTGTTTTGTTGCGTTGTGTGATGTGTTGTGTAATGATTAACACTGTGATGAGGCCTCCATGTGATGACTAGAGTTCAGTAGAGTTTGTCCTCTACTACTGGTCACACACACACTCCAGTGAGGCTTTACTAAACTCTACCCACCAAGCAGATATAGGATTTGGGTATTGGGGGTCTCGTAAATGAAAGCATTTCAATCCTTCAATGTTGCAGGATTCATTTCCAACACAAACAGATTGCCAGATGCATTTTGACATATCTAGCAAATACGTTAGTTCATGTTAGTGTTGGGATAGGTCCCTTGCTCATAGGCACAACAGTAAAATAGGCTACACACAGTATGGCCCACTCTGGCTTTTAACCAGTTTAGTTAAGTTTATTAGGCTCCATATTAGCTGTTACTCATTCAGCAGCTACTCTTCCCAGGGTCCACACAAAACGTAAAATACATGACACAGTACAGGGCAGTTATAGAATAACATAAAGGAAATTCTACATTCAATCCTTATCCTCTGTCCACCAATGCATCTCCTTTGCTGCTATATTGTACGCCTGTGCTTCTGTGGCTATATACATGTACCACAGATGTTGATGTTACTTGGAGTCGTTTGGGTGGTGGGTGGTGGATCTGTCTGGCTATATACAGTGTGTGATGAAAGGAAGGGAGGGTGGGACACTACACACAATGGACGGCCACTTTGTTCACAATGTTGAGCACAAAATGTTTGATCATGTCTGATTTACTGTCCCTGCTGGCTGAAAGCTCTCATTCCCTTTTGGTTTTGTTTTGTAGATAAGTACACTGTGTTGAGGGTAAAGCGGGCGAGGGAGAGCAATACAAAAAGCCATTTTTCAACTTTCCAGGTATATCTTCGAAGGCTCCTCCTCGGACGTAAAAAACCTCCACAGAGTGTGTGTGTGTGTGTATGGGCTGACTGTGCTGTCTTTTCTACTCACCCCCGCCTCTCCTCCGACAAAATCCCTCCTTCATCCTCCCATTTGCCTGCTCTCATCCTTTCTCTGTCCGTCTGTCCGTCTGTCGCTGTCTCTCTGTCCTTGCACAAACCCCCACAAACACACATACACAGACACAGGCCGATGGCACTTCCGCCAGGCAAGCTGAACCATGCCACCACCAACATGACACCCCCAACAACATCCCCCTCACCACTCTCAGGACCGCCCCCTCCCCCCATTACCCCCAGTCACCCGCATGCTGTGACATCCCATGTGCCTTGATCGTCCAGCACACGTTCGAACCCAACGACGACCCCTCCCAACTCACCCATAAAATGAGAATGACCACTTTCGCTTCCTCTCCTCCCACCTCCAGGTTATACCTAAGACAGGACCTTTAAATAGGAGCGGATACTGTGAGATTCTTGTTAGAGCAATTTCGAACCATTCGGTTGTAGAATACAACCCAGAATGTCATATTTATTGCTTTATGCTGACAACAACAAAACTATCGCAATGTTGACATTTCTAGTCACTGGCACTGCCTGCCAATATGTGCGCTATGATGCCTTTCCTCCACTAGAGGGCTTGCAGCATGCTCTCTCTGACCAAGCATAATACGGTTTTGTGTGCAGTCATGTAATGGTGCATGTTATGCTCTATAGAAATGGATGTTTGGCTAAGGTCTGCAGTATGGATCTGTACATTTCAATTCATATGAATGAAAGTGAGCCAATCAAACATAAAGGAATTCTCCCCAAAATGGAGGCCTACACATCTGATTGAAATAGAGGCCAATCTCTTAGAACACTTATTAACTCTGTCTTATATTTTGCTTTGTGTGTTAGCAAAGTGCTGCTACACAGAACCCTCTTCAGTTGATCCAACAGGCCGGTCCTCTCGTCGTACGGTAGTTACCCATAAGGTATCCTGGGTCTAGCAGTCAACTGACTGGCCCTCTGTCGCTCACTGTTCTCTCTCACCACCTCCTTCCTCTTTCCTTTACTTTCAACCTCCCCTCCTTCCTCAATCCCCCTCTCCCGGGTGTATGGCATGACCAGATCACCACAAACAGTACCCCCTCCTACCCCCTCCCCCTCTGAGATGGAGAGGGTAACCGGGGCAAGACCCCCCTCCACGTCACATGGTCAGTAGGCTCTATCTGTGACTCTGTGTCTGTTCCCCCCACCGGGGATGCCCTCTCTCAAAATGGAGCAAGCGCTATGTGTTCCTCCAACTCCATCCAACAGTACCCCACTCCCTGTACCCCCACAAGGGACACAATCATCTCGCATCTTTCCTCTCAGCACAAGCATGACACCCCTCTCTGAGTTTGAACATCACAAAGATGTGGACCAATCATTTTATGTGGATGTAGTAGTGCTATTTATATGTCTGTATCACACATTTTTTACAAATCTAGTTTTTGTTCAAGATGAACATATGGGAAAGATGGGTAAACCCCTTTCCCCTCTAACTGGATTCACAAAACAAATCATTAAATAAATGTAGCTACCTTGTACTTTAACTAGTGTGTAGATGTAAGCATCTGTGCACATTTAATGCCTACGCAACAATGAGTAATACAATATGTTGCAATCCTAGTCTGACCATTGGGTCGCATTTGTAATCTATTTTCTCACCGACTTGCTCCAAAATGAGCGGTCAGTAATTAATAAGAACATATTAATGCTTGATTGGTTGTTCGGCATGGCATGCTGAAATCTAATAGCACGTTGCCTTTAGCGGTGTGTGTTTGGATTCCAGAGGAGCTGCAACCCCCTGTAGACCCTGTAGATACAGTGAGGGAAAAAAGTATTTGATCCCCTGCTGATTTTGTATGTTTGCCCACTGACAAAGAAATTATCAGTCTATAATGTTAATGGTAGGTTTATTTGAACAGTGAGAGACAGAATAACAACAAAAAAATCCAGAAAAACGCATGTCAAAAATGTTATAAATTGATTTGCATTTTAATGAGGGAAATAAGTATTTGACCCCCTCTCAATCAGAAAGATTTCTGGCTCCCGGGTGTCTTTTATACAGGTAACGAGCTGAGATTAGGAGCATACTCTTAAAGGGAGTGCTCCTAATCTCAGCTTGTTACCTGTATAAAAGACACCTGTCCACAGAAGCAATCAATCAATCAGATTCCAAACTCTCCACCATGGCCAAGACCAAAGAGCTCTCCAAGGATGTCAGGGACAAGATTGTAGACCTACACAAGGCTGGAATGGGCTACAAGACCATTGCCAAGCAGCTTGGTGAGAAGGTGACAACAGTTGGTGCGATTATTCGCAAATGGAAGAAACACAAAATAACTGTCAATCTACCTCGGCCTGGGGCTCCATGCAAGATCTCACCTTGTGGAGTTGCAATGATCATGAGAACGGTGAGGAATCAGCCCAGAACTACACGGGAGGATCTTGTCAATGATCTCAAGGCAGCTGGGACCATAGTCACCAAGAAAACAATTGGTAACACATTACGCCGTGAAGGACTGAAATCCTGCAGCGCCCGCAAGGTCCCCCTGCTCTAGAAAGCACATATACAGGCCCGTCTGAAGTTTGCCAATGAACATCTGAATGATTCAGAGGAGAACTGGGTGAAAGTGTTGTGGTCAGATGAGACCAAAATCGAGCTCTTTGGCATCAACTCAACTCGCCGTGTTTGGAGGAGGAGGAATGCTGCCTATGACCCCAAGAACACCATCCCCACCGTCAAACATGGAGGTGGAAACATTATGCTTTGGGGGTGTCTTTCTGCTAAGGGGCAACTTCACCGCATCAAAGGGACAACTTCACCGCATCAAAGGGATGATGGACGGGACCATGTACCGTCAAATCTTGGGTGAGAACATCCTTCCCTCAGCCAGGGCATTGAAAATGGGTCGTGGATGGGTATTCCAGCATGACAATGACCCAAAACACACGGCCAAGGCAACAAAGGAGTGACTCAAGAAGAGGCACATTAAGGTCCTGGAGTGGCCTAGCCAGTCTCCAGACCTTAATCCCATAGAAAATATGTGGAGGGAGCTGAAGGTTCGAGTTGCCAAACGTCAGGCTCGAAACCTTAATGACTTGGAGAAGATCTGCAAAGAGGAGTGGGACAAAATCCCTCCTGAGATGTGTGCAAACCTGGTGGCCAACTACAAGAAACGTCTGACCTCTGTGATTGCCAACAAGGGTTTTGCCACCAAGTACTAAGTCATGTTTTGCAGAGGGGTCAAATACTTATTTCCCTCATTAAAATGCAAATCAATTTATAACATTTTTGACCTGCGTTTTTCTGGATTTTTTTTGTTGTTATTCTGTCTCTCACTGTTCAAATAAACCTACCATGAAAATGATAGACTGATCATGTCTTTGTCAGTGGGCAAACGTACAAAATCAGCAGGGGATCAAATCCTTTTTTCCCTCACTGTCTGTTTGTGTGTTCTCCTTACCGCAGCTCAGACTGTGCCTCTCTGTCCCTACCTACCTCTCCTTACCTTACTCTACCTTTCCCTTTCGGCCCATCACTTCAATCCCATCTCACTCTCACTTCATCTCTCTGTCACTCCATCTTTGTCTATTTCCCTCTGCATTCATCCCTCTCCATTGATCTCTTCTCCTCCTCGCTCATCAATCCTCGTTTCCTCCTTCTCTCCTCTCCTCTGACTTTTTTTCCCTGATCTTCCTCAATGGACGTCCTCACTACTCCTCGATCTACAACCATACCCATCCTCCACTTTTCTTTGGCCATGCACTCACCCTCTTCTATCACCTCACCGTTCGTTCACTCCGCTCTGTCCTCGCCTTTCTTCTTTCCTACTTTTCTCCTTTAACAACCTTCACTCCTTTTCCTCTCCCTCCTCCTCCCCATCCTCTTTTACCCTCACTCTCCTTTGACCCTGTCCTCCGCCACGTCTCTCTCTCTCCCCTCGCCCCCTTCCCCGCACACCCTGTACCCCCCTGCAGGATGATAAGGAGATCGACCTGGAGCACCTTCACCACCGGGTTAACAGCCTGTGCACAGAGGACGACAGCCCCCACAAGCAGTTCTCCACCTCCTCCATTGACCTGACGCCCCTGGACATGGACTCTATGCCAGCCAACCGGCAGGCCCTGGAGCAGATCAGCGACTTCCGCAACACGCACATCACCACCACCACCTTCATCCCTGAGCAGATCCAGACCCTCAGCCGCAACCTGTCCGCCAAGGCCCAACAGGGCTTCGCCTTCGGTCCCGTGCAGGACCACCGGACTGGGGGGCCCTTCAGGCAGAGAGCCCCCAACGGAGGCTTCTTCCGCAGCCCCATCAAGACTATGTCCTCCATACCCTACCAGCCCACTCCCCAGCCCAACTTCGGCTACGGCAACGACCCCGATCGGGGTACATCCATATGAGGCGAGGAGGAGTAGGCCACAGCGAGAGAGAGATGAAATTATACACACTTAAAAAGATCTATGTACATAGGAATCTTTTGCAGTTCTGATTTTTTGGGGGGCTTTGCTTTTGTTTGGTGGGGGGGGTTGTCTTGCTGAAACCTGGTGGTGAGAGGAGTTTGGGGACTTGAATATTTGCTTTATTGTCGTCGTTCTCATGGTTGTCTAGGGATCTTTTGGGTGTGACAGGGCTCTGTTTTGTCTTTTTCATTTCATGGCATTTGAGGACTGCCTTTCTGAAGCTTTTGGACACAACAAGGAGGGTATGTATTTGTTTTTTTTACAACAGAAAACACTTGTCTGTTCTTGAGATCCACAAATCGGCAACAACCCAATGTTCATTTGAAGGATGTTCTTGTCTTTGCCTTTCACCATATGGGACTCCATCCCACTCAGTTCTCTGGTGTTGCTCATCAATGCCTGTACTCCAAATCTGAAATCTGCCCCAAAATGAGTGTCCATTGGCTCAGCTACCCTGCAGACTGAGACCTCACCGTCTGAGCTCTGGACACGCTTCGCCATTTTTGTGCACATAAGGCTCTATCAATTCCACTGCACCGTACCAGTGCCCACAGACCTGTATTTGATTGTATGTAGTATGAATATTTCTTCTCAACTGTACTGTGCTGTCTATTTCAAGGTGAGAGCCTCAGCCTCTAAACAAACACTTGAGAGACGCATAGAGGGGACAAAAAGGAACTGAAAATAACAGAGATAAAAGACAACAGAAAAAGGACTTTAAAAAGCAGCTAAGGCTATTGTATGTATTTTATTGAATTTGTCTTCAAAATCAATTTTTATGCGTGGAATGTGTTCGGTCAAAAAGTCACAACAACAACAAAAAATGTTCAGAGCTGTCTAATTGTTTTTCTCTGCCAATTTTGAAAACCGCTAAATGACTACTATAGTCTTACTCTGGTTTGCATCATTAATCATATTCAAGTTGTTGTTTTTTTTACCTTATTTGTTGTTCTGCCAGGGCTCAGTCAGAAAAAAAGTAACATTTTATTCTCCAGTCCACTAACTGACTGTTGTGTACCTGTAAGGGCAAACAGTTGAGCTCAGAGTGAGGAGAACCCCTTTCAGATAACATCCTCAGTATAAGCCTTATCAGTACAGGCTGGCTTCACCTTGCCAGTCTCCTGCTTCAATAGGATTTCTTGCCATTGGAACTGTAGAGCTGATGGCAGTCATTTTGAAAGATCGTTCTTCATTTCTTAAATGTTAAGGGTACTGTTTATCTAACTTTTTTAAAGTGCCAATTGTTTAAATGAGGCCATTAAGGTGCAGTTTGGGGGGAGGGGGTCAAAATATATATATTTTGTGAAGAGAAAAGAGGAACCAAACCTTTTCACTAACACTGTATTAATATTTAATAATGTTTGTTGTTTAGAATGAGCTTTCAGTTTGTTATCTTAAGAATAAACCGCAAATGTTGTGTGTAGAGAACAGAAGCAGTGTTTGATGCAAGCGTTCTAGATGTTATTTTCTTAACCTGCAGTATGACTGTCGAATGACAATAGGACACAGACAATGTTTAAAGACGTTTTATTTACTATTAATGACAGAGACATTATGAAATATGTATATTTTACATGTTGATGCTATTTTTGTTTAATAAAATAATATATCATATGAGCATTGAGTTAGCAGTCACCCTATACATTTGGTTTCCCTCAGATCCAGCCCACACATAAGCTTTCTCATGTCATCTTGGGTTAATTTTGGTTTGCTGGTCAATAACAGAGGAGGCAAGTTCTTAAAAAGAAGCATGCACAACTTGCTATGCCCGTAACATGTTTTATTTCATACATAGAACATACAGGATTACTTGATAATTTTCAACTGATTATAATGTGCAGTATTTAATATAGGACAATTTTGTTGTATGTGTATTCAAACGGAACAAACTGAGGCCTCTGTTACAAGTGGCAAAGCTTTCTGTGTATAATTTGTCTAATAAACTTGTTTTCTACAGTGGTATGGTTTTTGTAGTCTTTGCTGTGACTGCGTAGGCCTGCGTAGGAAATTCAAGGGAACCAGTCTGTTTGTGCCATCATGCCACCACTTGTCATGTTTGGCGTGACAACGAGTGATAAAGTGTAGGCAAGAGCACAAACATATCTGGGACCAGGTTTGCTGGTTTATGTGTAAAGGAAGTGCTTTTGTTACCTCAGAATAAGTTATTATGTGCCTTTTATGAAACTTTGGGAATATTGAAATGGTGTCTGAAACGCCATCCAATCGTTTTTGTTGTGGGGTATTGCAAAAGTCATTTTTGTCTGATCTTCACAATATGGTGAAGAATCTATTCGAGGAGATGTCAGCATTTGAAATTAGTGGTGTTATGATAGGCTACCTATTACTCAAGCAATTGTGTTGTTTCATTTTTAAGCATGAAGTGGCGCTGTTTCACTGGAAACCATTTGTTAGACAATGTTGCGCTATCTGATCTGAAGAGAGAGAAAGAGAGCCTTTTGAATTGAATTGAGAGAGGGAGAGCGAGAGTACGTGCATGTTTGCACAGCACTCTATGTATGATAAAGCCTTTTTTAAACAAAATGGAATATGAAAATAAAACATGAAGGATATTTTTCAAGGTCTGCACTTGCCATTGCCTAAAGTTGTGCCTAAAAACAAAAGGCACCTAATCATCGAAATTCTGGCAGTTCCATGAAGGCCTTAAAATTCCAAAGTAAATAAATACCAATGGTCCACAAATACATTATTATTATTAGGCTATTATTATTATGATTATTTGTGTTATCGTTATTATTATTATTGTTATTAGTAGTAATAGTAGTAGTAATGTTATTATTATCAGCCTATTTCTGCATCCCTCCAGTGCACCTCGTTTCCCCGGAGACAGGAATGGGGTGAGCAGCATGCAGACTCCATCACGCTGGAAGCCCCCACTGGGACACATTTTGAGCCCATTTTCCAAAGAGTCCCCCAAGCGTGTCGAATGGAACATAGAGTCGCCATTGTGCATGCGACACTTTAATAATCGACAGCTACAATATCCAACCTGTTGTTTGCTTTAGGAGCCATTCCAGGCTCACTGGACGGCCGCTTGTAGGTGGAGAGACGGACCTAGGCGCCAGTCCCCAAGCCTCGACGCTTTATGAATACATGAATAAAAAGTGAAAAGATTCATGTAATTTAATTTTAGAAATTGTGGGATTTTGTCCGCTGTCCTGCATGGACGGGCTGGTCTTGCATGTTTGATATTGCTAAACTTTCAGTAGGCTATAGTCTTTTATAGGCTACAATTGTTTCAGTTTTCGCTTAGGCTTATCTCATACAGCCTTTCGAATAAGATAATATCTGAAGACATTACAAAAGCCTACGCTATTTTCTTTTTAACTGAGTGTTCAGAAAGTGCCATTGTGGCTGGTTTACGTATAGGCTATCTGCTTACCTTTTCGGCTGTTCATTTATTTGATACTAGTTTCTAGCCTATAATATTTTCTCATATTCTTAGAGATACCCATCTGATTTGTATACTTCATTCGTTTAGATATGTAATGTTCTTATCCTTCTATGATCTTTACTGTTCAGTGGAAGTATAGGGAATGGGTATGTCTAAAATGAGGGTGTGTGTGTGCGTGTGTGTGTGTGTGTGTGTGTGTGGGCTGCGAGTGTCACTGTCGGAGCACTGTTCCACGCACACACTACTTCCTCCTCGCTTGCCACTGCTTCTGACAGTAAAAGCGCTGTCGAGCCCCCTGCTCATCTTTCCGATCCCTGTGAAGCTCTTTTACCAACAGGGCGTTCCGTAAACCGGATCAAAAGGTTTTGAACCTGTACAAAAGAAAATGAAACTCGAGATGGCCTTAACATTCATAGAATGGAGGAGCGGATCGGTGAATTGACAATGAGCACGAACCCCAGGAGCCGAGTTCTTTGGTCAAACTGTTTTCAGTTCCTAGAACCAGGATGGAATATTCTTTGCTTAGTTGGCGCCCTTTTCGTGGATTAAATTAATTTGCGAATTTCTATGAGTCTGGAAATGTTACCTTAAATTCACCCATAGACAGATTTTTGGACATGGGAGCTGCAGTGCGTTGAAGTATTCACAGCCCTTGACTTTTTCCACATTTTGTTGTGTTACAGCCTGAATTTAAAATGGATTAAATTAAGATTTTTTTTGTCACTGGCCAACACACAATACCCCATAATGTCAAAGTGGAATTAGGTTTTTCGAAATGTTCACAAATTAATTACAAATGAAAAGCTGAAATGTCTTGAGTCAATAAATATTCAACCACTTTGTTATGGCAAGCCTAAATAAGTTCAGAAGTAAAAATGTGCTTAACAAGTCACATAATAAGTTGCATGGACTCACTCTGTGTGCAATAATAGTGTTTTACATGATTTTTTTAATGACTACCTAATCTCTGTACCCCACACATACAATTATCTGTAAAATCCCACAGTCTAGCAGTGAATTTCAACACAGATTCAACCACAAAGACCAGGGAGGTTTTCCAATGCTTCGCAAGGAAAGGCATCTACTGGTAGATGGGTAAAAATCTAAAAGTAGACCTTGAATATCCCTTTGAGCATGATGAAGTTATTAATTACACTTTAGATGGTGTATCAATACAACCAGTCACTACAAAGATACAGGCGTCCTTACTAACTCAGTTGACAGAGAGGAAGCAAAACGTTCAGGGATTTCACAGTGAGGCCAATGGTGACTTTAAAACAGTTACAGAGTTGAATGGCTGTGATAGGATAAAACTGAGGATGGATCAACAACACTGTAGTTACTCCACAATACTAACCTAATTGACAGAGTGAAAAGAAGGAAGCCTGTACAGAAAAAAAAGATTCCAAAACATTCATCATCCTGTTTGCAACAAGGCACTAAAGACATACTGCTAAAAAAGCAATTAACTTTTTGTCCTGAATACAAAGTGTTATGTTTGGGGCAAGTCCAATAAAACACATACTGAGTACCACTCTCCATATTTTCAAGCATAGTGATGGCTGCATCATGTTATGGGTATGCTTCTAATCATTAAGGACTGGGGAGTTTTTCAGGATAAAAAAAAGAAACGGAATGGAGCCAAGCACAGGCAAAATCTTAGATGAAAACCTGGTTCAGTCTGCTTTCCACCAGACACTGGGAGATGAACTCATCTTTCAGCAGGACAATAACTTAAAGCACAAGGCCAAATCTACACTGGAGTTGCTTACCAAGAAGACAGTGAATGTTCCTGAGTGGCCGAGTTACAGTTTTGACTTAAATCTGCATGAAAATCTATGGCAACTTTGGCAAGACATGAAAATGGTTGTCTAGCAATGGTCAACAACCAATTTGACAGAGCTTTAAGAATTTTTCTAAGAATAATGGGAAAATATTGCATAATCCAAGTGTGCAAAGCTCTTAGAGACTTCCGCAGAACGTCTCAAAGCTATAATCACTGCCAAAGGTGATTCTAACATGTATTGACTCAGGGGTGTGAATACTTATGTAAATTAGATATTTATGTGTTTCATGTTTCATGTTTTCACTCTATCATTATGGGCTGTTGTGTGTAGATGGGTGAGAGAATGTAATCAATTTTGAATTCAGGCTGTAACACAACAAAATGTGGAATAAGTCAAGGGGTATGAATACTTTCTGAAGGCACTGTATATGGAAAATATTGTCAGCATTTCAACAGTTTTGCCTTAGACCTATTTTTATTTAATTGTTGAATAACTTATAACCGGGACAAAATGTAGGCTAGGCCCTATAGCCACAAGGAACTTGATGATGATGATGATGATGATGGTGATGATTATGACATGGCTTTATGATCATCCATGTTCGTTTGACAAATTCAGGCTTTAGTGACACTATTCTGGATATTAGTCCTATGTATTCTCTTATAAGAGGTGCATACAACTGGGCACAGACCTCAGTTAAACATCTAGTTTTTATTTACATTTGGTTGAGTTGTGAACTAACGTGAATTCAACGTGAAATCAACAAAAAATGTCACCATGTCATTGGATTTAGGTTAAACGTTGGGTGAAAAAATACGAAATGACCTTAAGTTGATGACTTTTTGCAAATCTAATTAGTTTTTCACGTTGATTCAACTGTCATCACATCGATTTTTTGGGTTGAAATGAAGTGGAAACGACGTTGATTCAACCAGTTTTTCCCCAGTGGGATAGGCCTACATTGCCACTTTAGAAAGGACTGTCTCTAGTCTTGGAGATGTTTTTCACGAGCCAAAGAAGACACTGACATGCCTGCAGTATTGGGCAGGTGCATGGACATCCTCAAACAGTCCACGAGCTGAAGCTCGAGCTGTCCACACTCCTAACCATATAGCTCTATCCCTGCGTGTGCCCTGAGGGACGACCCTTTGTGCGGTTAAACAGTCTTTAAACCGAGGCATTATCATAAACAGTCTGGGCATAATAACCTCTCTCGGGTTTTCCGAGACTTCTCATTGGTCGCCAACACGCGCCTGCACCAAGTGCTCTTATTGGTCAAAGCGCCACGCGACCAGCTGAGAAAGGGGGCTCCCAGGCGCGTGCCGCTTTTTAAAGCGATGCCGCGCCTTCAGACACTAGAGAAGGAGCCCTGCACGCGACACAGTGCGAGCACAGTGTGCAAAATAAACGTTTTTGACATCATTTTATATTTTGCTAAGTTTTTTCGTCCTCCAAGCCACCTGATTTATAGCTTTTTGAAATGGATGTTATCAGTGTTGAGGAATGGAGCAAAGGCACGAAGGAGATGTGCGAGGTGCAGCACTCGAAAATAGAGAGGGGGGAGCAGATCGAGTATCCATCAAGCCTGGCACTCATGGACAGCAGTGACCCACGCGCCTGGCTGGCTCCCGTGCAGCCTGGCACCTGTGCGGCACACGCCGACTACCTGCTGCACTCGCCCAGCTCCAGCGTGGAAGGCGGGTCCCCTACATCCGGCCACAGCCCAAACTTTAGAAAGAGTTCCAATAGTCCGCTCAAAGTGCGGGAGTTGTGTCGGCTAAAGGGGTCGGTGAGCGCCGAGGAGGGCAGACAGAGAGCTCCATCCAAACCCGGTAACGGGGTGCAGAAGGTGCGGCGCCAGGCAGCCAATGCGCGGGAAAGGAGACGGATGCATGGCTTGAACCATGCCTTTGACAAGCTGCGCAGTGTCATCCCTGCTTTCGACAATGACAAAAAGCTTTCCAAATACGACACGCTGCAGATGGCCCAGATCTACATCAACGCGCTGGCGGACCTGCTCCAGGGTCCAGGTGAGGACTCGCCAAAGTGTGACCTGTTGTCGGCCACGGAGAGTCCCAGGGGATCCTCCGCCTCCACCTGCCAAAGGGGCGCAGGCACTGGGCTACCAGTCCAGCTTAACGGGATCCCATTCCCCTTCGAAGACGGCTCGTTCTCTGCTTTGCTGGAGCAAGAGATGCGGTCTCCCTCCGGGACACCCAGTTCCAGCTCCGAGAGCAGAAAGGACTCCCCCCAGTCGAACCGCAGTGACGGAGAGTTCTCCCCGCACTCCCATTTCAGTGACTCGGATGAGATGCAGATGGAGCTCCTGAGCGAAGACGAGCTCTCTGAACTCAAACTTTCCAGCCATCACTAATTTTTAAACTTCACCCGGGACTTTCAAATCGTGTCAATCATATCTTCTGGCATAGGCCTACATTTTATAGGATAATAGATTGCTTTCCAAAATCATTTTGTTTGGTTTGAGAGTTATATTTGATCAACTGTTAGATAAAGATGATTTTATGTCAGATAATTCGGTTCTGCCAATTGAATTTACCGTCTCATCGGGACCAGGGAAAGACCCCTTTGCCATGTCGACTGTTGCGCGCACCATTGCCACGGGCTTTCCCAATCCCACGTCATGGACAAAACGCCGTCTTCCAAGAATTTGCCTGATATTTCTAATGTACAGACCTTTGTAATTGTATTTTCCTTATAGCATACTGCTCATGATTTCATTGTTTATTTGTTTGTAAATGTCCCTGTATGAATTGGATTGCGACTTCTAAAGTTAACAATGCGCACTTTAAAACACGAGCCAGAGGCTTGGAGCAACATGACTTTGTTATTGAACCACTGTTTTTTTTTTGTAGTAGTAGTAGGCTTACTGCCAATTTGATATTTAATTTAGCCATTTTTTTTTCTTTTTGTATTTTTGGCTATTCACTTTAAATTAATTTATGTGTCTTTGCTTTCATTGGATGATTTAAGTTGATTTATTCCTAATTGTTTTCTATTGTTTTTCCAATTAAATGTGTCATTTCAAATGTTTACCATTAACTGGTTTATTTTCTTTTGATTTTGAGAATAAAATAAGCAAACTGAAAACCATCATTTTCTGTTGTTTCGTGTTTCAAGATGTTGATACTAGCCTAATCGATGAAAAATACATATCCTACATTCCAAAATCACAACCATCATACAACTATTCCATAAAGGACCATGTTAACAAATATTTTTCCATTGCATGACATGCAGAAACACTTGCGGGAATGAGGGGAATATTAACTCTTAACTAGCTTATAACCTGCCTTACTGATATTCATTATGAAACCTAGTGTAAAGAGCTAATTACACAGGTATAAAATATTTTCTTTTCTTTCTGATGATGAAAGCTATTATTATTATTATTCTCTCAAATGCATTTATTAAGAAACCCTAGCATGTCTCTAGAGGAGTCATTTTTAACATATGTATATATTTATATATATATTTTTAAATATGACTCTATCATCTAATTTTTTTTATTGCTCTATCTACCATAATCGACTTCAGGTTGACTTAATTATTTATAACAAAATCCGATTATGTGACCTTGTGGATATTCATGTTAATTCGTGTATAATGCTAATAATTACACTTTTATTTTGTTGTTTTTTTGTCTCACCTTTTCCTGCATATTCTGTGTACATTTAGTAGGATATGGATTGTTGGCTTGAAATATGTTAAATGGTGTCAAATGCAAATGCATTGTATCCTTTAAAGGCTCAGAAAACCAACCACTTAGGCCAAAGACACTTACGTAAAAGTTAATTTCATCGTTAAAGTACATTGATAGGACATTGATTTGGTGAAACAGAGCGCACAAAAATGCATATTTAAGTATTCTCTTCATGTAAATATCTCAAATCAATCAAAGGCACGGACACTCAATTATTCCGATAATTTATGTAAGTGAATGATGGTTAAACAACGTGTCCTCAAAGCGCTCGCTCTCCATGTTTGCGCCTCTGGTCCAGCAATGATGCATTCTAACTTGAGTATTTAGAGCAACAGTTTCACTTCTCTCTAAAATATTAGGCTATCTGAAACCAGTATTAAAATCATTTTGGTTTAAATGTGGAGTTTTGGTGACATTTATTCAATTAATTGTAATCGGAGTGTGCATTAATTTCAGGCTATTGTTGGCAGGGCGGTGGTCCAAGGTGTTGGATAGCCATCGAAACACGCGCTGTCAGCTGGTGAGCGCTCGGGTCTCCTCCATACACTGTGATCTATGTCCCTCAGGACTTGACTCACTTTCTAAGCCCGCCATGCACATGCACACGTCTGCTTGCTTGCTCGCAAAGTAGCCACACACAAACTCTCTCTCTCTCTCTCTCTCTCTCTCTCTCTCTCTCTCTCTCTCTCTCTCTCTCTCTCTCTCTCTCTCTCTCTCTCTCACACACACACTTTCCAAATAATTTACTTACACTCTTTTACCCTCGTTTGATGCATTCATCTTCGGCTTAGACTAAGCTACCGTGCAGACTGTCAGTGACATTCTCATGTATAGGCAGCCTGGTCTCTTAGACTAGAAGTAACATAGTAAATGTACATTTGCGACACTCAAATTAGTATGATATGTTACCTTTGGTATTGTTACATAAGAAGAAGGTATAAAGCGAGCGTCTATGTTGCGTGTTCGAATCTCATCACAGACAATTTTAGCTAATTAGCAACTTTGCAACTAGGCCTACTTACTACTTTTTAGCTACTTTGCAACTACTTAGCATGTTAGCTAAACTTTCCCCTTCCCCTAACCTTAACCCTTTAATCTAACTCCTAACCTTAACCCTAACCTTTCGTGTAGGCTTACCCTGGCGTGACGTTTTGATAGCCATGTAAATCTCTCTCGGACAAGGTGACTTATCAATATATTCGGCTCTATTTACGCTCATGTTCGAAAATGCTAATTAGCATCAAAGTAGACATTATGCAAGACTACAAACCCCTGCAAGCTCCTGCACTTCATCTCTAGCTGAAACCTTTGCTAAACAGGTATTGCGTCAATTTACAACTTGCACAAGACAGTTCACAGAATTGTCAATTTAAATACATATAGCCAATTTATTAATTACTATATTTAGCTAACATTAGATAGTTAATCCAGAGATTCTTACATTTGCCTCAATTCGACAGTCTCGTCCAGATCACCATGGTATTTGTAGTTCTTTAAGATAGCCACATTAGCAGCTAATTAGCATTTCATTTTACAGGCAAATATATTGATAAAAATCACCTTGTCCGAGATATTTACATGGTTATCTAAACGTCAAGCCAGGGTAAGCCTACAGGAAACACAGCCCTTATTTTAAGTGTTTCTAAAATCCCCTATGGGAAAAATTAATGGTGGAAAAACTATTGGAACCATTTCCCATTTGACTGCTAGGTTTTATGGGTGTTACTCTATAGGATCATATGTAAGCAACATTTTCAGTGGATTAGCATACTCCTCTGTGGAAAAGTAGTGTATCGAAAAGTGTTCAAATGTTTCGAAATTATTTATAGAAGTGTATTTTTGTAAGCTACCTTAGTTTCTGCTCCCTCCCTCTGATTTGAACCAATCGCAGTGTGCCCCGTGATATCGATTAACGTGGAGAATAATAGGCAATAATGCGGTGTTAAATTATTTAGCGCATTTATCCATACACCTTTTTCTGGTTTTGAACGAAGCAGCCATCTGTACTTGCTCGACTCATGTGACCCGCTATAACTGGTAAATTATCGGATTTCGCGCGGTGCTCAGGTCTATCGTATAGCCATAGTAGCCTACTGATGTCTGCGTTCTGAACCTATAGCCTACTTATATCTGTTGCCGATATCACCAAATGTTTTCTACTTCCTTGTTTTTATTCGTCCACAATACATTTAAACACCACTCTTTTTAAGAACAAACCAAATCAAAAAGTTGTCAAAGTTATATGCCTATTTCATGAAATCTCACGAATAACCTTGCTCATTTAATGGGGAAGAAAAGCATTGGCAGTGACAACCGTGTTGGAAGTGAGTGTTTTCAAGTTGTATGGTCGATAAAGTTAGCTTTTTACCATCATTATGCCTATTACAAATACTTTTTTCACGATTATTTATTTTGTTAAAAACTAATTTAATTGAATCAAAGTCCAGACTGACAGTAACGTGTCGCGGAAATCCTTAAAAAGAACACTGAAATTCAAGTTATCGCTATGGGCAGACCATCTCATTTCAATGTGGATAATTGGGTAATATTTGTTTGAGACGTTGATCAATGAGATTACAATTTATATTCACCCACTTAAAGAGACAGACAAAAATGTTAGTTGAATTTCCAATGTGGTATAACTATGATTTCAACCATCTAAAAGCACAACCAAATTGCAATGGAAAAACAATGTCTGGTGTTTAGTTTAGTTGTCACCCAAATGTCTCTCACTGAGCTTTCAACCATTTAAAAGTACAGCAAAGTTCAAATGGGAATACAATGTCTGATATTTTGTTTATTTATACAACATATTAATGTGTTATCACTGTGCTTCATCTAATAGCATAACCAAATGACCTGGATTGCAGTTGAGATTACTTAAAAGTGCATGGTGCAAGTGATCAATGCCATTCGATATTCTACACAGAAGCAATTGTGAAGATCTCCACAGACCTGCAATAACCCATGCATGCAATCTTGAACCTGCACACTTTACATGATTACATAATAATTCATTTATAGTTACGGTAACCTCAAAATGTGGCCATGGATGTGTTACTAATTTTAAGGTTGAATGTTACATTGGTTTGTAAGATAGCCTTAACTTTATGCTATTGAATTGTGTTTGGTTGACAAAGCAACCAAATACCAAAATGTACAGGACATTTATCTACTGCTTGGATAGTTCCATCTGAGCCACTGGCATAATCCCATTCTTTAACTTTTATTTTTGGTTGAGTTGGAGACGTGAATCCAACATATAATTTGTTAACTTGTCTACAAGTTAATAGGCCATTTATTGTATTTCAGCTAGGATAGTTCCATCTGTGCCACTGACTTAATTCTGGTTTGTCTACAAATTAATAATTGATGTGTTGGATTTACATCTCCATCTCAACCAAAAATCTAAGTTAAAGAATAGGACTAAATCAAATCAAACTTTAAATGCACTTTAAATAAAGTTTTATTTGATTCAGTCCTATTATTTAACTTAGATTGTTGGTTGAGATGGAGACCTGAATCCAACATATCAATTATTGATTTGTAGACTGGAATTAAAGCCAGACTAAGTCAGTGGCACAGATGGAACAATCCAAGCAGAAGGTACATCTCCTTCAAATGTTGATATTTGGTTGAGTTGACCACCAAAC